ATATATATACATATATATATATAGGTAAGGGATCATATGAGAATGATCATTAGTGAAAGAAATAAGAATGAATATGTGCCATTGGATCTATCATATAAATGGTTATGATCAAGTCAAATTTTAGTCAATCATAATGGCAATACTGTAAATTAGTATACATTGTGGTCAAATGTACACATTTAACCAATAATTAAGGGTAATATGGACATTACACATTTACCACATGACAATGGGCCCACAAACACAAATATCGATCAGATATCTCTCTCACACTGTTTCTCTCTCTCTTCATCTCTGTATGTCTCTCTCGCTCTCGCACTCCCGCACGTCGCTCACACCTCACGGCAGCGGTTGATGGCGGAGCCACGCACCCCACGACGACAGAAAAACTTCGGTAGACGTCGACGTCAGCCCCTCCTCGGCGTCACGACCTCCACCATGGAACTCAGCGCCGCCGCTGAACAAGCTTTTCTGACGATTCTTCCACCTCCGACTGTCGTTCGCCGGACTTCGCCATCGTAGTAGCCATCGCGTATAGTTTTCTTCCTCCACCACTCGTATTCTCCCCGAATTGTAAGTACCTAAATTGTGCACCAAATTCTAAACCCCTAAATTTATATTTCGGTAAAGCGATTTGAGATTTGTGTTCGATTTCAGTCCGGCAAGGGCCGATTGATGGTCATCGGCGCGTTTCCAGCGGTCCGGCGGAATGGTTGAGTGAAGATGGTGATCCAGCGGTCCGGCGGAATGGTTGAGTGAAGATGATGATGCTATTGTGGCCTGCGTGTGTTTGAGATTGAGGGCATGATCTTTGAAAATTAGATATTTTATAGGGGCTTGTTTGCAAATTAAGAAAATTAAGTATATTTTCAATTGAGTTCATGTGTTAAATTGGCAATTATTAAAAATATAAAAGTACACAATATTAACAATTATATTGCAATATGTTAATCAAATCGATATAACTTTTGGCGCAACTGAAAATAAAATTGTACGGCAGGGGCATGGGTGGACAAGGCTTGGCAAGTAAGCGCGAATAATATTAATGATAGTCATTAATGTGCAATTTGTCTAACATTATCGTGCACACATGCATTTTTCAATGAATTTAGTTTGGTCGATTTTCGTCAATAAAGTGCAATATGACATTCATTAATGTGCAATCAATCTAACACTAATGTGCACTCGAGAAGTAGTATTTTTAATGATTTTTGCCCAAACCAAACTAAAACCGAAATAATCGGTTTATTTGATCGGCTAACTGAATAAACCTAAATAATCTAAATAATTTATAATTTATGTTATGCTCATATATTTATTATTTTAATATATTTATTTAATATTCTTTATCTTTATTTAATATTCTTTAAATCAAATAATATTTTGTTTGTACAGTTCTACCGTTTGGTTATTTAAAACAATAAATCTGACATTATGGATATCTATTGTTTAATTAGATTTATGTTATGTGGAATTTTGGCGGGAGTTATCGACGTTAATGGAGGAGTGTTAGGTTAATGTGCAGCGTGTCGTTTTATAAAGTGCAAAATGTTGTTTTATAAGGTGCAACGTATTGATATATAAAGTGCAATACTTAGAATTATATTGAATTACTCTGTTTGTTCGACCATTTACTCGATTTACCCTAAATCACATGTAAAGTGCAATGTGTTGTTTTATAAAGTGCATCGTGTTGATATATAAAGTGCAATGTTCTATATGATCACATATAAATTATTTGTTTTTTGAAAACTAGATCTAGTGGATAAATAATTTATTATTTGTATTAAAAAAAAATTTATG